GACAGTTTTGTTTTGTTTTGTTTTTGAGATGGAGTTTTGCTCTTGTTGCCCAGGCTGGAGTGCAGTGGTGTGATTTTGGCTCACTACAACCTCTGCCTCCTGGGTTCAGGCGATTCTACTGCCTCAGCCTCCTGAGTAGCTGGGATTACAGGTGCCCACTGTCACACCCAGCTAATTTTTTGTATTTTTAGTAGAGACGGGGTTTTGCCATGTTGGGCAGGCTGGTCTTGAACTCCTGACCTCAAGTGATCTGCTGGCCTTGGCCTCCCAAAGTGCTGGGATTACAGGTGTGAGCCCCCGCATCTGGCCAATTTTAGTATTTTTTTAAGCAAAGTAAATACTCTTGTCAACATCTTAATAAACTTTGCCACTTAGCATTTATTTCCTTTTAATCTTTGGGAATACCTGTGCTCTCTGGTGCGTGATTTCCAAGGCTTTGGGACAGCAGGGGCTGTGAATAAAGAGAAGCAGGACTCACTGTGTTCCAGGCTGGGCTCCCTCTGCTTCCCAGGCACATGGGCCACTCACAGATCTGGAGTGTTGTCCCCTCCCCAGGGTTTACATACCTCTGAGTTGCCGCTGAAGTTCCATTAACAAGTCATAAATGATTCATTTTATTTGTACAATTGTTTAAAATTTTTTTTCCTATTTTTTAAGTGATGTCACAGTCATATCTGTACAATTCTTGAAGTTGGAGATTTGAGAAAAAATGTATTATCTTTGCCTGAAAAATATAAAAGGTTTCTGTTACTGTGGTATTATGAAAGAGTACTGTGGTTATCTTTGGGTGGCAGGGCTATGGAGAGATTTTTGTTTCCCACTATGATTCTCTTTAATTTTTTTCCCCTGACATAAATATTTTTCCTTAAAATGAAAAAAAAATTAACGCTCTTATGCCAAGAGGAATCTCACGAAAGGAGCTTCTCAACTCACAGAAGCCGTGGGCTCTGACAGTGGTTATCAAACTTGAGTTTGTCTCAGTCTCATCTGGAGGTAGGGGTGTGATAAAATAGTCCCAGGCCCCACCTCCAGAATTTCTGATTCAGAGGATCTGAGGTGAGGCCGCAGAATTTGTATTTCCGATGGGTTGCCAGGGGCTGCTGAAGGGGCTGGCCCAGGAGCCCACTTTGAGAGCTTTTGCTCTGTGCTGTTGTGTGGAAGCTGCCCTCTAATAGCGGCTGTTTTTTCCCCAGCCTGGCCTGCTCCTCAGGCTCCCGGGAACCTGCCCCAAAACACAGGTCTCCACGACCAGGAGACAGGTGCTGTGGTCTGGACAGCTGGGTTCCAGGTGAGCTGTGGTTGATGCCTTCTGTTTCCTAAGTACCCACTTTCACCCCAAAACCCCCTTCTTCTCCAGAGACATGAGAAAGATTCTTTGTGGTCCCTGGGGCTTCTTGGGTTGTTTTGATTCTGTCCACTCTGACATTATCACATGGCTCTACACTGGTCCCACAGGGGGGACCTCCCCTGCCTTTGCTTTGCCCCGATCTGACAACTGTGATCCTGTCTCTGCCCCCACCCCAGGCTAGACTGGTGCTATTTTATCGGTAGCAGCAGCTCCAGTGTTGTTACAGGGACCAGCCACATGTGATGACAGAGCTGTATCCCTCTGTCAGCAAGAATGGATGTGCCCAGGCCCTGCACGAAGGGCCCTCTACAGGGATGCCACACAGGAGGACAGACATGTCTCGCTGGGTAAGGATTCATCTTCCGTCCAGGTCCAGGTGGATGTGTTCAGTTGTTCAGGGAGGCTGAAAGGACTTGAGAGTGAGGGAGACAGAGGGAGTGGGGAGACTGTTGGGTGGAAGGAAAGGAGGAAGTAAATGGGGAACCACAGCAGGCAAGAGAGAGACAGGCAGAGATCAAAAGAAAGGGGCAGGCTGCATGCAGTGGCTAATGTCTGTAATCCCAAAACTTTGGGAGGCTGAGGTGGGCGGATCACCTGAGGTCAGGAGGATCTGGGCACAAGAGAGGACATAGATAGCTTCCAAACTGATGACAAGCAGACAGGCCAGGCAGCTGGGAGCCCTTACCATCACCCCATGCATGCTCCAGAGCCTCTTGGGTGAGGACCTCTTTGTCCCTGTGTCCTGGTACTGATTGCCTTTATGTAAACCACACCTCCACACTGGGGGCATTGTTGGGGTAAAAGCAGTTCATTTTACCATGTGCAGGTGACATATAGGGAAAGTAATATCTACTCAGGTTGTCTGGGTCACCCAGGGCATTATCTTTTCAGTGTGAAATCTGAAAGCCAAAGCCAGGTGTGTTTCTGTTTCCAAAGTAGTGAATTATCTGTGTAGGTGCTAAATCCAGATTTTGTTAATAGAACATAAAGAATGAAGATGCTGTTACCCTGGATAAGCAGTGTTGGGTGATGCCCTGGACCGGTGACTGTGAATTTAAAAGGTTACCATTAGTCTAGGAATCAGGTTCCACTGCAGCCACAGGGTGGGTATATTCCTTAGAACGCATGCAAATGACTGCCACATCAGTAACCAGTACTGTGCTTACTGCCACAACACAAACCACCCTAAAACTTGGTGGTAAAAACCATTATTTCTCACCATTCTGTGGGTCAACTGAGTGGTTCTTCTGCTTCAAGATGTTGGCTGAGGTGTTGAGGTTGGAAGATCCAGCATGGCCTCAGTCACCTGGCTGGCAGTTGATGGCGGCCACCAGCTAGGAGCTCAGCTGGGTCTCCGGCGGGTGCAGGCTCATTGTACTTTCCCGAGTTCCAGGAGGAGCAGCCTCTGTGTGCAAGTGCTTACTGAGCCTTTGCTGGCACTGTTTGCCAGTGTCCCACTGGCCAAAGTCAGTCACATGGCCAAGCCCAGGGTGGGAGGGACTACACAAGGCTCTGAACACAGGCCCTGTGACACTGCGCCTGCCTCACTCTACAGTGTGGCCCTTCCCTGTGATCTGTGGTTTTTCCCTGCTCTGTCCCCTGCCATCCCTCCCCTCCTTTGCCAGGAACTCCTGGTTTCCTGGCTTCAGCATGTGCCGTTTCTTGCTGCTTCTTCAGGCTTCTCCTGCACCTTATCTTGTCCAGTTGCAGGAGAGTATAGTGTCTTTTTGAGCTTTGTATTGAGATTTGTATTACTAAATATATATGGATAATATAATAAGGTGAGATATGAAGGCTCTTTTATTTTTGAACTTGGGATTTTTAACTTATTGAGGTGAAATTCACATGACATAAAATTAACCACTGTAAAGTGAACAATTCTTTGGCATCCAGTACATTCAGAGTGTTGTAAAATTACCACCTCTGTCCAGTTCCAGAACCTTTCCATCACTCCAAAATAAGATCCTACAACCATCCAGCAGTTTCTCCCCATACTCCCCCTGCAAACCCCTGGGAGACACCAGTCTTCATTCTGTCTCTATGGGTTGATCTGTTTTGAGTAATTCATGTAATGGTACCTGTAACTTTAATTTCTACAACATTAGGCTTATTGAATGAGGGCTTGTATTCCTTACACACTTTGGGTTTCTTGTCAATCATTCAGGATCCTTTTTTTTTCTTTTTTTCTATATCCAGTGAAGCTGTCCTTCAAGATCAGGATCCTGAAAGATTAGAGATAAGAACTGAGACAGAGAATGGGGGAGGACAAATCATTCTTCCTACAAATATTTATTTAGTGCCTACGGTATCTCAGACCTAGTTCTAGGTCATTAGGGATACAACAGTGAAGAAACAGATAAAGATTCCTGCCCTGTGGGAAGAGACAGACCATAGCATAATCAGTAAGCGGCGGAAGATGTTAGAGGGCGGTAAGCACGATGGGAGAGAAGGAGCAGAGGTTGGTTTGCAGTTTTCAGTTTGGGTCGCCCTCAATGACAAAATGACATTTGAAAAGACTTGCAGGAGGAGGAGAGATGAGCCTTGCAGCCATATCATACATGGAGGAAGGGCGTAAGACAGACAAAATGGCTCTGGCTGGAGCAAGGTGGAGTAATATTTTTTAAAAGACCACTTTGAGTATTTGACTTTATTTGGTACTTTATGTAAACATTTATTTGTGTCTGTTTGGTGTAGAGATTTCTACAGGACTGTGACCTCCTTGAAGGCAGGGTTCATGTCATATTTATATTTACATTTCTCAGAAATTGGCATTATAGGTACTCAGTGAGGGGTAGTTGAATTGAATAACAAAGGAGGGGACTCCCTCTGGCTGCTGGGTTGAAAATAGACTGTAGGAGGTCCAGAGTGGAAGCAAGAACACCAGATAGGCTATGGCAGTGATCTGGGCATAAGGTGATGGCAGCTCAGTGTGGAGTAGGCGGGTGGCAAGAAGAGGCTGGTGCCTTTCACAGCATCACTACCAGATGTTGTTGGAATCACTACCGGATGTTGTTGGAATGCACTTGTTGGGACAGCTCTAGTGAAATCAGTCCTCACGAACTGGCCCAGATGGGCAGCAGGAGTGTGTGGTGAGAGTTCTTGAGTAGCCAGTCATCCTGAACTTCTCTTCTCAGATGTTTACTACTTACTCTTACCTTGGTTTGTTAACTGCTGTCATTTAGTTCCTTGTATCTACAAGGATGACAGGACATACCAGCAGACAGAGATGGGCCAGATGAGGAGGTATTCCTGTATCCAGGAGGGAACAGGTATATCTATCCTTAAAACCAGTTCCTTTCTCCTCTGAATCTTTGCTTTCCTCTGAGCGTCACCTGTTCACTGTGTCCTCTTATGTGGCCACCCTCAGGAAGTCCCACAACTGTCAAGGCAGGCAAGCCACTACACTTATTGCCAGCCATCTCTCCAGGGGAAATGAGTAGGACTGAGGATAATTAAAGAGAAATTAAAAAGGCAGCTTTAGTAAATAACCCTACAAGTCCTTCTCAGTGGAGGGAATGCCTTTTGTATTATACTTAAAGTTTTCTTAGAAAAAAGGCCACCATGAGATTTCTTCCTAGAAATAACAGTAGCCAGTTGTGGCATAGTTTGAGAAACCAGGATGTAACTTTTGAAGCTGCTAAAACTCCACACTGCAGTATGTACATCCTCCCTGATCTAATTGACAGATCTGATTGACATATTCTTTGTCTCCCAGCAACAGGTGTGCCCTGGGGCTATGAAGAGACCAGGACACTCCTGGCTATTCTTAGTAGTTCTCAGTTTTATGGAAAACTCCAGACCTGTCAGCAGAACAGCCAGATCTACAGGGCCATGGCGGAACGACTCTGGGAGCAGGGCTTTCTGCGGACCCCAGAACAGTGTCGAACCAAGTTCAAAAGCCTACAGTTGAGTTACTGCAAAGTGAGGAGAGGCTATGTGCCTGAGCCTTGTATCTTTTATGAGGAAATGGATGCTTTTTCAAACTCCTGGGCCTCTGTGCCTCCTATGGCAAGCGATGCTGTTCCTGACCAAAAAGGAAGTGATATCGAGGCTGGAGAGCTGAGTCACCAGAACAGGGAGCACACAGAGGTAGAAGATAGCACTGTGGATGGTGCAGACAGGGATGAAAAGGACTTCAGCAATCCTGGCCAGGAAGTCAGGAAACTTGACCTGCCAGTGCTGTTCCCAAACAGACTTGGTAAGACTCCCTTGACTCTGATGGTCAAAAGATCAGAAAGTCCACTTTAGAGGCCATTAGCCTAGCAGTCAAGTGGGAGCTGTCACTGAGCCTGGCATCATCATCATCTTGATGTGTGACTGTATCTAAGCCAGGAGTTTTAGTTTTCATGTAGTTTAAAGATTATTCCCCTTGCATTTTAGAGCCCTGATTTTGCATTTTCCAACTTTTCACTAAGTTCATGTCATCTTTTCCCATTGAGTTTCAGTACTTTGCATCCTCACATTGCTGGTTAGGCCTCCAGACCAGGTTCCATCTTCTCCCTCCTTCTCTAGCATGGCAATGCCTTTTACAGGCTGAGCGTGTGCTGGATGGGTACTTAGCACCTTGTTTTCTTCCTGTTTGAGCTGGCCAAACCCAGGGTTGCCTTTTGTTATTCTGCTGGCAGAAGTTAGATTACTGAAGAATTGAGAGTATACCTATAAACAGACTGGCAGATGACACAGAGCTTGATGCCATGCCTCAGTTTGTCATTGTGTCGGAACATCCCAAAAAAAATTGGAGAAAAGTTGTAGTTTAGGGCATAATTTTCCTGTAATAATTTGGAGCTCAAAAATATTACAATTAGAAAATAAAAAGCTATTAGCAGGAGACTTAATCTTATGAAGAATTTCAATTAGATGTTTCTTCTATATAGTATAGTTATAACTCTTTGCATTACATTGTTTTCCTTCTCTATAGTCTATTGTATTTCTGTGGGTTTTTCTTTCAGGTTTTGAGATCAAGAATGAGATTAAAAAACAAAATCTAAAATGGGATGATTCAGAGGAAGTAGAAATGAACAAGGCTTTACAGAGAAAGTCTAGAGGAGAAGTTTTCTGGCACTCTGGGCTACAAAAAGACATGGAGAGTGAGCCTACATCAAGAAGGCAATGTAGAAACTCACCAGGGGAGAGTGAGGAGAAACCCCCATCCCAGGAAACGATGAGTCACCAGAGTTTTTGTGCCAGGGACAAAGTCTGTACACATATCCTGTGTGGGAAAAACTGCTCTCAGAGTGTACACTCTCCCCACAAGCCAGCGCTCAAACTGGAAAAAGTATCTCAGTGTCCTGAATGTGGGAAAAGCTTTAGCCGAAGTTCTTATCTTGTTCGACATCAGAGAATCCACACCGGCGAGAAGCCTCACAAGTGCAATGAGTGCGGGAAAGGCTTTAGTGAGCGCTCCAACCTCACTGCCCACCTACGAATTCACACAGGGGAGAGGCCCTACCAGTGTGGGCAGTGTGGGAAAAGTTTCAACCAGAGTTCCAGCCTCATTGTCCACCACAGGACCCATACAGGGGAGAAGCCTTACCAGTGCATTGTCTGTGGAAAAAGATTTAACAACAGTTCCCAGTTCAGTGCTCACCGGCGTGTCCACACTGGGGAGAGCCCATACAAGTGTGCAGAGTGTGGGAAGAGCTTCAACAACAGCTCCCACTTCAGTGCCCACCAGAAAATCCACACTGGTGAAACGCCTTACTAGTGTTCTCACTGTGAGAAAAGCTTCACTAAGAACTCCGCCCTCACTCGTCATCAGACAGTACACACAAAAGTAGTACTCTCATCACAGGAAGGAAGAGATGTGTTATGAGTGTGTAGGAAACCTGTCATATCAGTTCCTTAGGTCAGTTTGTATGTGTTCCTTAGAGCTTTCTTCTGTGGAGAGATCTAGCCAGTCCCTGACTTAGCAACAGACTTACTAACTACTGGATCTTAAGATCCATGTCCAGGAACAGGAGTCAGCATAAGGATGCTGACCTCTTCTTCTGGTTGTGGCTGTGACTCCAAAGTCCTGTCTTACTGTGACTTAAAGTCTGATGGAGAGAAAGCTGTAGGATCCATAAATTCTGCCAGGAAACCAGGATCTTCGTGTTCCTAACAACACTGAGAATGGGCACCCAGTGGTCTGAGAACACTTTCTGAGCTATTGTGGTCCTCACACAGGGCTGAGAAAGAAAGTGTCCCTGCTCCTGGGAAGCACATGTAGAAGTTAAGAGCCTGAATCTCTTCTAAACCTATAATTGACCTGTAGGCACCCACCATACTACTGCTACCTTCAGGGCAGAAGATACTACTTTTTATAACCTAGCCATCACAAAAGGAAAGAAGAAGGGTTAAGCCATTGGATAATCTGAATTTGTTTCCCTAAGTGACTTAATCTTAGAGCAAGCATAGCATCCAGGTTAATTTTTGTAAGATTTCTCCTTTTATTATCACCCTCATCATAGTTCCCAATTGACTCTTAAAAGTAAGTGGTTTATAGATATTACTATTTCTGATAATAGTTTACAAACTACTATAAACAAATTTATAAACATTACTGTTTCTGAAGAAAATAAAGTTGTTTCTCCCTCCACTTCCTTGGCCTTTGGTTGTAAGTTGTAATTTTCTCCTTTAGAAACTATACTCATGTAGAAGCCTGCAGGGTCCTAAAAATGATAGAAGTGTAGAGTCTGCTTCAGGGCAGTAGGACATGCAGAGAAGGAATAAGGGGCAGGAAATGGGGAAAACAGGAAATGAATCAGGTTGGGAAAAGTTTGTGCCATCATGAGAAGGAAGATCATAGATGCAAGGGAAAAACAGGTACATCTGGAGGCTGACTTCTGAAGAGTTAGTAGATGAGAATGGTACGTGAAAGGAAGGATGGGTATGAGAAGCGCTAGGAACCAAACTTAAAACATCCAATGATGAGTCACAGATACTTAAACTTTTATGAAATTGCCATGGATAAAAAGTACATTGAAGATATAAAAGTATTTAGAAGATAGGTACATTGTCTATGGCTTTTGGCTGGTGCACACAAGGTAATAGGATATTGTCTAAGGTATGGTGAAAAACAGGCACCATGGTCTCTTCTTGAGCCTTTTTGAAGAGTTGACCATTTGCCCCAAGAATACTTGCCAGCAGCACTTATAATTGTAGCAGTGTTTACCCTGAGATAACTTTGCCACAAAATAACTTGCTTTTAATTTTTTTTGAGACAGGGTCTCTCACCCTTGCCCAGACCTGAGTGCAATGGTGTGATCCCAGGCTCAAGCAATTGTTGTGCCTCAGCCTCCCAGCTAGCTGGGACTACAGGCCTGCATCACCATGCCTAACTGGGTTTCACCATGTTGACCAAGATGGTCTTGAACTGGCCTCCAGTGACCCGCCTGCTTCAGCCTCCCAAAGGGCTGGGATTACAGGTGTGAGCCACTGCTCCCAGCCATCTGGCTTTCATTATTACTTTCACATGGCTCTAGCATATCAACTTTGGAAACAAAAGACATCATTCTATTTATAGCATTTAGTAGTGGTAGTTCCTTTTACAAAATACAGTAATTCTCTATCGCTGAAAACGTCAAATCCTAGAAAACGTAGCAATCTCACATGTGATGTTAACATCATTCTCTAACAGTTGTTGGCCAAAGATCTATTTGATGAATCTGATTTTTCTGAACTAGACAATTCTGCTGATTCAGATGATTCTGTTGTTTGTTCTGCTTAGAAATAACTCCAAGAACAGTTTTTTTTTTGTTTTTTTTTTTTTTTGAGACAGAGTTTCGCTCTTGTTACCCAGGCTGGAGTGCAATGGTGCGATCTCGGCTCACCGCAACCTCCGCCTCCTGGGTTCAGGCAATTCTCCTGCCTCAGCCTCCTGAGTAGCTGGGATTACAGGCACGCACCACCATGCCCAGCTAATTTTTTGTATTTTTAGTAGAGACGGGGTTTCACCATGTTGACCAGGATGGTCTCGATCTCTTGACCTCGTGATCCACCCGCCTCGGCCTCCCAAAGTGCTGGGATTACAGTTTTTATATTTTATTTTCACAATGAAAATCAGTCACATTTGCTTCAGTCTCAAAGAGCATGTTTATATGAAATTAAATGAGTGCTGGCAGCAAGTTTCACTTTTTTCTAAGTGGGAAAAGTTAAATATAAGCAAAGGAGAATGTACTACTTTCAAAGCCAGAAAAAATGAGAATTTGAGGTGAAGGAAAAGCAAAGGCAGAAGAGGAGAATATACTTGTGTTTCTTCACTGAGCTCTGCCTAGGCCACTGCTTTTCCCTGCATACACTGTCCTTGAGCATGGCCCTAAGGAGAAGCTCTGCAGGACAGCTCCTAGAGTCACATACTTCATAGCCTCTGCTCAACTCGGAAGAAAACATCTTTAAAGGACCACGACAAAGAGGTGGGCTGGAATGTGACCTATTTGGGACACCATGACTTCATTGGTGATTCATGGTGGGGAAGGGGAGATAGCCCAGGAGTGGACTCATTACTAATGGACTTTGGACATAAGCTCAGAGAATGTGGTTGGATAAATGAGGACAGCCAGTGAAAGTCAACGGAAGAGATAAGGAAATAGAGACACTTTGTGTTACCTCACTAATAAGCTCCTGCCACTCCTGGGCCTACTGTGGCCAGGGAAATGGGGATGCAAGTGTTCAACTCCTTGCATGTTTAGGTTGCCTCCACCCTCCAAGCTGCTTTGTCCTCTCGTCTGCTGGGCAGAAAAAGGAAAACAAGTACCTCTAGAGTCTCCAATCCTTGCCTGTCAGCCACTCCAGATGACCTGAAGTAGACAGGTAAGCGTTGGAGAACACATTCATTTATTCCGGAAATATTTGATTGCCTATAATATACCAGGTATTGGAGTCAAATATAAAGCAGTGAAGAGCGCCGGGGGCAGTGGCTCATACCTGTCATCCCAGCACTTTGGGAGGCTGAGGCAGGTGGATCGTTTGAGCTCAGGAGTTTGAGACCAGCCTGGGCAACATGGCAAAGCCCCATCTCTACAAAAAAATATTAAAAATTAGCCTGGCATGGTGGTGTATGCCTGTAGCTATTTGAGAGGCTGAGGTGGGAGGATGGCTTGAGCCCAGAAGGCAGAGGTTACAGTAAGCCAAGATCACTATTGTACTCCAGCGTGCAAGATTCAACCATCTTGGGGGAAAAAAAAAAAAAAGCAGTGAACAAAGCTTCTTCCAGAAGCAGCCTAATTGGACCCCTCAGAGGTATCAGCACCAATCAGGCAACACTGCCCAGCTCCCATCCCCCAGCACCCTCGCCAAATCCAAGTCCCAGTTCTGCAGGGCCTCTCTTCCAAGCTTCCAAGCCCTGGTAAACCCAACCCTTTCTCTATACTCCCCTGACTCCACATGTTTCCTACAGTTACTATCCCTGTCACTGTAGTTTTCCCTTTTTTTTTTTTTCCCAGTTCTACTACACCTTCTTTACATATTCTTTTTATTAAGTCCCCTTTTGGAAATACCAAGAATAGCTTCTGGTTTCCTGACTGGACTTTATTATCACATGCGATGCTAAGAGTTTGGATTTTATGTCAAGTATAATGGGAAGCCACTGAATAATTAGGGAATGACGCAATTCTCTTATTCTGGCTGCAGTGTGGAGAACAGGTCAGAAAAGCTAAAAGTGCAAGCAAGGAGACCAGTTAAGACTTTCTTAGCTCTGATGTCTAGAAACTCAGTTGTCTAGTCTAGTGATGACAGTGGATACAGAAAAATGTGGATGGGTTTTGTACATTTTGGGGGCACAGTCAACATAATGTGATGGTGATAGGTTATGGAGGTGAGGGAAAGAGTTCCCGTCTATGTCTACTCTAGGGCTTTCCTATCATTATCTGGGACAATGGGTGAAGCTCAAATAAATGAAGGTCAGGGAGGGAAAAGTAATTCACAGAAAGAAGGAAGAGATACAACCCCAGATGGAAAGCAAGCCCTCTCAGTGACTTTATCTTTGAGAGAGAGAGCAGATTATCATCCCCCTTACAGAAACAGAAACACATTTTAGAGGGAGGAAGGATGGGCACACAGCAGTCTTATGGCTCAATCCACAGTAAAGACAGAATTATAATCCGGATTTCCCAAGGTGCAGAGGGCTCTCCTCTTCCCAAGTCCTTTATGCAACTGTTCTAGGAGAGAATGGTTACTACTACTTAGCTTTTGGGCTGGGTCTTGGGAACTAGGAATCCAGGCAGGTTGGCTCCTCAATGTCATCTGGTCCATTTCCTCATGGAGGGCACAGGGCTTTGGCATATGGCTGCGGCTCTCCTTGTGACGTTTGTCTGGAGACACTTGACCTTGCCGTGACACAGCTCTGGATCTGCAAATAACCCAGCTCTTCAGCCTGCACAGCTATTGTTTTGAGCACCTTGCATTATCAGTAACAGGTTAGGCATTTTCATGAAACTGCTGTTTTTTAAGGATGGCGAGGAAGGTCTTTTGTTTCTTCAACACCCTAGTGCATACCTGCCACTGGGAGGGTACACTCAGCATGACAGCTCAGGCTATTTCTCTCAGTCCATTGATCACAGGCCCTCACCATTTGACCTTCTATTGCTTAACAAGCCCAATACCATACTAACCACTTGAGAATATATTTAAAGTAGGCTGCACAAAAGGCAACACCCCCAAGTCTACAGATTTCCTCTTATGTCTTTTTTTTTTTTTTTGAGACGGAGTTTCACTCATGTTACCCAGGCTGGAGTGCAATGGCGCGATCTCGGCTCACTGCAACCTCCGCCTCCTGGGTTCAGGCAATTCTCCTGCCTCAGCCTCCTGAGTAGCTGGGATTACAGGCACGCACCACCATGCCCAGCTAATTTTTTTTTGTATTTTTAGTAGAGACGGGGTTTCACCATGTTGACCAGGATGGTCTCGATCTCTTGACCTCGTGATCCACCCGCCTCAGCCTCCCAAAGTGCTGGGATTACAGGCTTGAGCCACCGCGCCCGGCCCTCTTATGTCTAATATTACCCTCCAGGTTTGGTGCAGCCCTTCAGACGTCCATTAAAAAAGCAGGTTATTCCCTGGTAAATTACACACTGGGCTTTCCACAGTTTCCATACCTCCTTCCCTCACTGAAACATTTTAACTAGTTGATATAAGTTTTCAATTGACACTATTCCTTTTCTCCAAAGATTCCTAACCACTCCCTGTATACTGGATCAATAGTCTCACTACAACCCAGAGAAGTTGGGTAGAGCCTACGGGCTGTCAATGGTCCACAATTCTACCATGGCTCCTCAGCTGATGGTAGCTGTTGAGTGGTCGGAGCCAAACAAGAGCTGGGTGCCTCCAGATTCCTTACCTCACTCTCCTTTCCTCTTGCTACCTCTCTGCTGCCTCTTGTGAGTTCAGTTAGGAACAGCCCAGTGCTTCTGGGATCCTGGCACATGCGTGCCCATTTCATAGCTTACTTCATCACAGGCGGAATCCTCAGCTCCTCGCAGTCCTGGAAATAAGACTCAACTGTAACTTCGTTTCTGGGTAAAGACCAAGAGTCCTGAGTGTGCTTCACTTAGAACATGAGATTCTGGCGAGTGGCCCTACCATTGCCCATGGTAGCCAGCCTGAAAGCTGTGAACTTCGTGTTGACCTGTGCTAGAGGCTGGAGGAAGCTGCGCTCCTGCAACTGCTCAACCACTACCCTTACAGTTGGGCATTCCAGGGGCAAGTTTGGAGTTTTTCATAGATTTAGGATTTATGGAGATTCATAAGTAATGTCTTGGTTTCCTGGTAGCCCCATTTCATACCTGCTCTACTAGGTTAGTGACTAAGTAAAAAGAGCTGGACATTTTCCACTCATCTGTAATTTCTCTTTTTAAACGAGGATTCCTAGATGCTACCACCAGACGTTCTGATTTGTCAATCTAAGGCAGTTTTCCAAGTGCTTCTGTGTGGTTATGCCTGTTTGAGAGCCATCAACCCCTTTCTTAGAGAGAGAGGACACTGGGGCCTAAGGTCAGTATCAGACAATCAACCTCCAGCTCTGCAGATGCGACCAATAAGTGTTAGGATGGTGCCATAGTGAGGGCTTTGGAGTGAGACAAACCAGGTTTAATTTCTAATTTTGTGATCATCTGTTGCTGTGTGTCCTTGGATGGCTGACTTAACCTTTCTGAGCCCAGCCTCTTCATTTTACAGTCAGTGATAACAATATCTACCTCTCAGAGGGCTTTAAAGGATTAACTGCTTTCATGTGTGCAAACCATTTACATATAACCTACCACACAAAACATGCTTCACGTATGCCAGCTATTACTGGATACGTCTTAAGTTTTACCAGGAAGGATAAATAAGCGCCAAACAACTTTATTTTTTT